TTCCCCGGGAACCGTACTTGGGAAAACATCTCAGCTCTGTCATTTTGAAGTGGTTATATGTTGTAGACTGCATGCTGTCAATGTAATAATAAGGAATTTAACAGGACTCAACAATAAGAATATTTTTTTTACTGTCCAGGTAAATAACAAATATCTGGAAATTCAGCTGTAATATAACTTAAAAACTATAAACTATTAAGTCAAACACACTTTTTCAGAAAAATGCTGATATTATTTGTAAATATTTAAGCATACATATGCCTCCAGCACAATCAAGAATAAATCTCAGATGATTGATTAATTATAGATATATTATTATTACTGCTACTAACTGTTTACTCTTAATTGTTTACTTGACAATAACTATTTTCCATTTGAATATATTATAAAATGTTATTTATTTCAGTGATAGCAAGGCTGAATTTTATTCCAATCTTACTCCAGTCTTCAGTGTCATATGATATTTCAGAAAACATTCTAATATGCTGATTTGATGCTCAAAAACTTTTCTTATGGGCATGAAATCATTCCAATGATTCCAAATTATTGCAAACTTTTGTCTGCCAGTGTGTACATCAAGTTGTAATAATACACAATATATCAGGCAAAACCAAAGGTTTTCATTTGTAAGACATGAAAACAAATATATGTGATCAATAAATGTCTATGCTGACTTGTCAAAACTCTCACGCTGGCCCTGGGCCATCTTTATTGTTGAGCCCTGTAAAATGAAAGGAGACACAGTTCATGCAGATAAACATGCTCAGGTTTATAAATAAATGCATCTTTAAATTTTATAATGCCATTATACTGCTTATGAGTTTTTCGGATGGATAAAAGATACGGGTTGTCACCCGACATTAGCTGTTAAACCGGGAAATGAGCTGTTTAATCACAGCCTAGTAAATGTTGCACTTGCACATTAATTAACCATCAATGTGACTTTATCAAGACAGCAGGAGTGTGAGAGTTGCAGTGGCACGTACAACATGACTTTCTAACATTTATAATATGAATTGACCATATATTATTTACAAGACCCTCACTTATGAAAATCATTTATACAAGCTTGTTGTTTTATTAGTCCTGCTGTTCTGGTGTGTTTATATACTGTACTGTAAAGCCTTTGTCAGAAATCACTGCGCAGGTAAATGTGGTTGAGGTTGCAGCTTCATCGACATGTAAAATCGTCTCTCATAAATCATAAATAATGAATGCAGAATTTGCACATGTCAGGGCACATAAGCAATCTCTTTTGTCATTGAAGTTGCCTGGATGAAATGGATGCATACAGCTGTCAGTGTGAGGTTGGATGGACCGGTCACAGATGTGAGATCAACATTAATGTAAGCATGTTCTTTTTGAGCTTCTCAGGTTGTCAGTGCATCTTGTAAGTTATCAGAGCGTGAGTTATTATTGTTATATATAGTGTATGCATGTGTTTGTGTATGTATGTATATATTTAAACTATTCCATTCTAAATATATAATTTATTTTATTTGTAGTATTTTTAAAGTACAAAACGAATAAAAAACAAATAAAAAATTAACAAATTAAAGCTTAAGAATAATCAACAGTAAAGAAATTTAAGAATACTTAAAAAAAAAAAAAAAACATTGTCAATGTTCAGCATTCATGAACCTGTGATGACATGTAAATCTAGCAAAGTTTTTTTTAATATTATCTTTTTTTGTAATTAAGTTTTTTGTTTTTTTTTACCTTGGTATCAAATTTTTAAAAACGATTTAACGCTGCTGCATTGGGAGTGTTGGCATATTTGACGTCTTTCTCTCTTCAGACCGGCATCATCAATCTCTGAATATTTTTTCCCTTTTTTGGAAAGTCATAGAAACACTATCATGGATTTGTCTTTCTCTGTTGGAGCTCAATATATATATAAAAAGTTACATGTGAAAAGAGTCCATTATGCAACCAACAGCGATGACGCCAATTGAATTCCCATTGGTCGTCTTACATGCATTTGCATAGTGAATTTTGGTTGCCCTTTTTATTGCATCTTCTATATAGCTGCCTTATACTGCAAAGGCAGTGTCTCATATGTAGATTCTCATACACAGTGGACAGAAACGTGAGTTTCATAACAATGACAAAACCTAAAAGCTTACAGACTACTCTCTCCCTGCCTTGCCAGCACTGGTATTTCCTTTAGGAAACTTCAACTGAAAGTTATTTAGCATATGAAATTCAATAAACAGAATGCAGGTATGCAGAAATACAAACTGTTTTGAGACTATAAAACATGGTGCATCCATTTACAGAATCATAAATCAAAATGAATATGCACATTATGTCAGATAGAGAAGGCCGTGTCTGTCCAAAGAGTCCCCAGGCTGTAATGAAATCAAAGTTCAAGGTTTAACAGTGACAGTGAGTCTCTGAGACGTGGCCGCCGTATTTCATTGTGGAGACAGGGAACTATCATGTAAAGCTGTTAGGACAGACAGCATCACACAAGTACAAACCAGAGTCTGTGAACAAGAGCTCTGACACATACTTTTCATTTTTAAGAGCTGAGTATCACTAGACCCGCTATTGACAAGATTTTCAACTATTTGACATCCAGCACTGCCACAAGTGGCTGTCTGTGCCTTTTTTCCTAAAAATGGGATGATTTGTGTTAAACTTTCAGTAACGATAACTATCAAATGGAGCGGATAGGTTGTTCTGTTGGTGGCGTGTGCCGGCATAAACCCAGCTGGAGGTACTTGTCAAAACAAGTTGGTTTGTACAATTTAAAACCATTACGCCTATGAAGAGTCCCCGTAAACCATAATTACAAACCTAAATAATATATAGTTCTGTTCGTAAGTCCACATAACTTTGGTTGTTAATAGAATTTTTGTCTTTGAGTGGTCTGGTCTGGTCTAGTGGTTGTAATGTCAAGTCTGGTAATTGGTTCAATTTTCAAACTGGTTCAGCTGAAAGGTTGCTGGTATAGTGTGAGGAGCAATCCATAAGCCATCACCATTGTGCCCTTGAGCAAGGCACTTATTCCCAGGTTGCAGCAGGGGGGTTGTTCAAGTTCATAGCTGCGTTCTAAGGGGACATATAAAAGTCACTGAATCAAGTTCAACTGGACCTGCGTGGTGATAAATAAAGATTATATTACATCTTCACCACTTGCGCTCTACACTGCCCTATAAAAGCAAAACCTATTTGATTTTAGTTTTCATACTGTTTTCTCTTAATCCGAGCATAATTGAGCTAAATCATAGCATGAGAAACCAGATGACAAAATGTGTTAGTCCAATGTCCAGTTGTAGATGAGTGCTATTCATTTTGAAGATCCCTTAATAATTTTTCCCTAGTGGTGGCTGTTGCAACAATGAAGGTGAATTGGCTAGAAATATCACTACTTAGAAATCAAAAAAGCACTTCATAGGCGACTGAGAAAGAGAGTAAGCTTCATTCTACCTGACCTCCTGAAATATAATATCTGGCCTAGATTCATATTCTAAACTTCCAGTGACAACAAAGATGATAGGATGGAAAGGTCAGACATATTGTAGGGTTATGTTAGATTTTTAGAATGCTTAAAAAGGGAATTGGAGCACCATAATCTCCTGAGAAGAGATGGAAATTGAGAACTGAAAGGGGAAAGACTGTAATTTAACGCACAGTAATCATGTTATTATAGTATGCAATTCTATCAATGCTATGGCAAGTTTGTTTGCTTTTTGAGAATAGATTGTGTATGTATTTTATGCGTAAAGTTATTGCAGTGTCCATATTATGCTGTTCATAATTCCTACAACAGGAATACTCCAGTTTAAAAACTCAGATTCTCCAGCAGAATATTATACATATGTACTATATATTCCTGCATGGTTTAGATGTTGGGGATTATTCTTCTGAATAACAACCACAGGATCATCTAAACACAAGTGTCTGATTAAAATGCTTCTATCCCTAATTGATTTAATACCTAGCACGGCCTTAAATGTACCCCTGAGACAAAACACTTGGCTGTTTGGAGGACTTCAGAGGCTTGTTTGGAATAAATCATCAGCTGCTGTTTGCTCCCGTAATGACTATAGGACAAGTTCTGCCATTCTGTTTGTATACTCACTTACAGTATCAACTCCACTAATGTACCATATATCTTTTATATGAGCATCTTTAAATCACAGAAATGTAATTAAATTTAGCTATACGCATGCAGTAAAAACTGTATTACTGCCCTAGGAAAATGGTATGATCAAGCAGTAAAAGTGATTCAGTAAAAAATTATAGTAAACATTTGGCTACCAGTCCTTGAAATATTGGTTGTGTGTAAAGAAATCATTAGTATACATGGGATTTTGGTTAATTAAACTGACATCCATTAGGAATGGAGAAAAAAAATAGTTTTAATGTTCACACTATATGTTGTGATATACGGTGCATACAGTATACAGTGCATGTATTCATTATGCAAAAAGAATCACAAATATTATGGCGTCATGACCTAGATATTAAAGGGGTCATATGATGCTTTTTTAAAGATCATTATTTGGTGTATTTGGTGTAACAGAATATGTTGACATGCTTTAATGTTCAAAAAACACATTATTTTTCAAATACTGTACATTATTGTAGGTCCTCTATGCCCCGCCTCTCTCAAACGCTTCGTTTTCTACAAAGTCCCTCCTTCAGACAAGTGCAGTCTGCTCTGATTGGCCAGCTGACCCAATGCATTGTGATTGGCCGAACACCGCAAGCACGCGTCGGAAATGTAACGCCCCTTACCATAATCACGAGCGTCAGCTTTCAAAGTAAATATCAAGTTCTGTTGTAAGTAATCTTAAAGATTCCTAAATGCATCTACTTCCGGAAGGCCAAATAAAGTGATTTTGCTTTTGCCTAGAAACACAGCGTCTCCCTGACATGTTGCTTCAACACTAACTGCGGTTACTTGAAACCACGCCTTCTTTCTTTGCGTGCACATTTGGGTGCATTATGCAAATATTTCCACATAGTGGGGTAGATATGTGGGGGCGTGTTAGAACGAGGCCTTTTAGGGGGGCGTGGCAGAGTCTTAACTTTGATAAAGAATATCTCTTTGGTTTTGAGACTTTAGTCTTTGCAACTTCAGGGATCTTATCTATGCACAATCAGCTTGTAACACTCCAAAGAGAAAGGAAAACTTGAAATCGCATCATATGACCCCTTTAATATAATATTGTTTTGCAAAGTTAATTGCAGTTTCCCTTATTTATGTTTTTTATGTTAGGAGTGTGAGACTCATCCTTGTCTTAATGGAGGCTCATGTGTGGATCTTCAGGACAAATATGCCTGCATATGTGCAGAAGGTTTCACTGGGAAGAACTGTGAGATTGACCAGAATGTGTGTCTGCAGACGTCTCTTAATTTCTCCCTGTGTTTCAATGGAGGAACATGTGTGGATGGACCAGGGGCCAACTTCACATGTAGGTAAAAACAAGACTCTAGATGGAACTTCTGATGTTTTTGTGTATGATGTTCAACAGTTTTGCTCTTGTTGTCATCCTAATTTCTTGGTGCCTTGTGGAAAGCATTTCCTATCCAGGGCTGCATTGAAACAGCATTTGATTGTAGAGACCATTGGTGGTAATGGTTTCTTTGATCTACTTATGTTTACGATGCTTTTCAGAAATGGTCAATTAAGGCCTTAAAAGTCTCATATCAGTGCAGAAAGTATTAAATTCATGAAGTCATGGCATTAAATATTGCATACATTCCTTAAAATGAATGGCTTCCTCAGTATTTTTGTTTTTCAATACCTAAATATTCTTAAATCATAATACATTTACTTGAGGTGCAAATGTAAAATGAAGTCTTCTAGGGGAAAATTAAGTTTTTAAGTTGTGTGATCAAAAGTACAGTAAAAGTTTATTTTTTCATATTGTAGTGATGGGGAGCTGTTTGTTTGTTTTGTTTTGTTTTGTTTTTGAAATTAATTAAAGTAACAGACATTGGTTGGAAGATGTAGCCTACTTTCAAACTTTTGAAACTTTGAAGTGTTGTTAACACAATTCATTGTGTGCTCCCTAGACATTTACATTAAGAGAACATATTCAATTTATTCCTTTTTTTTTTAGTTTTCTTTACTTGGTCTTAAAAAGGTCTTTAAAAGGTATTAAATGGAGTTTTGGCACCGATGGAGTTTTGGTTCCTTGCCACTGTCGCCTTTGGCTTGCTTAGTTGGGGACACTTAATATCTGACAATATTGTCGGCTTGATTGCACAGACACTATTTGTAGAGAACTGAACTGAGCTGGACGATGACATCACTGAATCAACAATGAACTGACTTTAACTGAAAAATTGACTGCTTGTTATTGTCCTCTTACATTATTAACACACTATTTTCCTCCATTTTAAAGCTGCTTTGACACAATCTGTATTATATAAAGCACTATATAAATAAAGGTGACTTGACTTGACTTAAATGGACCTTAATCAAACCTGCAGAAACCCTCAGTAACTATAAACAATCAGACTGGAAATAATTTGTTCACTTAAATTCATTCAAAACCACTAATTTGTTCACAAACAAAACACCACTAACAAGTAAGAGCTGGCTAAACAAACTTACATTTGCTTACTTTATTTTAAAATATAATTTTAAATGCCATACACTGACTGATCCAGACACATTTCCACAGTTTCTCTTGGTTCTTTCTAAAGGTCTGCCAGAGTGGATGATTATGCAGCAGCTGCTACAACATTATCGCTGAACTAAAGGGCTAAAATTGCGTTGTGGTGCATTGCACATTCTGCATAAAAGGGCCCATCCAACACATAACATATCTCATTATCTCTTCCTCCTAAGACAATATTCGAATGTGAATAAGCCCCCTGTCCAGAGTCTCTGATTAGCCTGGGTGATAATGCTATTTGCAATTCTCCTCGTGTCAGGTGGACAGATGCACGGACAGACAGACAGCTGTGGAATGAGAAAGCATTGTCTGTCCAAATGAGGCCTCATTGGATTGATTTTCTCAAATGGAAAACAAACGCCCCCATCCCATTTTGTGTGTACTCTCATTTGAAATCACTTGCGGACTGATGACTCGCAGGCCGATTTTATTAAAGCTTGTCTCATTTGGTAATGGACAAAAGCGCACATTTTAAAGACTAACAAATTAGAGCTCAATCAATTTTAAATCAGCTTCCGTCGTTTTGCATAATGTTAAAGATTCAGAACAGATTGAGGGCTGATATGCTGATATGAAAGCCATTAAAGCTGCCACATAAAGAAAAAATGCCTCTGAATAGGGAAAGAAATTATATATCAATATTTATATGAAATATGAGATATTATATGAAAATTATTATACTTTGGCCATGTTTACAAACATATTGTGTAAAGTAAAATAGTATATAAAATAATTCTCTAATATCTTTCATACCATAGTTGAGAATCTTGGTACAAATCTTTGTGCAAAGTTTGGTTAAGGTGGAGGTTTCCTGGAGCTGTGAAAGTCCTGAAAAATCTGATTTCGAATAAAGGGCTATTAAATGCAGGCACTAGTATGCATACAAAATGCAAAATATAACATTCTCTAAACATCTTTTCTCATATCCATTTTACAGAGGACAATTTATAGAAAAGAAAATAGCCTGGAACCTAAAAATTGACTGATGTACTGAATATAAAATGTTTTATATTCATGAATGTTTTGGTTTTTAGAGTCTTGTTTTCATTTTTTCAAATTTTTATATTACACAAAGATAATGCAAGTAAATACAAAATGCAGTTTTTAAATGATGATTTCATTTATTAAGGGAAAAAAGCTGTCCAAACCTACCTGGCCCTACATGAAAAATGTATTGCCCCCTCCTGTTAAATCATGAAAGAACTGTGATTAACTTTTGGAGTGGCCAAATCAAAGTCCAGACTTAAATCCGATTGAGATGCTGTGGCATGACCTTAAACAGTCCATTCATGCTCGAAAACCCTCCAATGTGGCTGAATTAAAACAATTCTGCAAAGAAGAGTCGGCCAAAATTCCTCCACAGCGATGTGAAAGACTCCTGGCCAGTTATTAGATTTAGGGGGCAATTACTTTTTCACATAGGGCCAGGCAGGTTTGAACAACTATTTTTTCCCTTAATAAATAAAATTATTTCAAAATTGCATTTTGTATTTACTCGGGTTATCTTTGTGTAATATAAAATTTAGTTTGTTGATCTGAATCATTCAAGTGTGACAAATATGCAAAAAAAAAAAAAACCAGGAAGGGGGCAAAAACTTTTTCACAGCACTGTATATATATATATGAAATCTTATTTAGTTATTTTAAAATAATGATAAATATAGTCAATAATACAGAAGACCAACAAAATTTTGTTTTGGCTGTATATCTTTCCATAGTTTTTTCATGCATTTATTTATTTACACATTAGACTATTACAGAAGCTATTTTAGGAAGTGTTTCTTCTGAACGCCTCTCGACACTTTGGAAGGAATATCTGCCAGTATCATTCATCTTGACCTGATATTTATTGATATTCTTACATGTTTGTTTTGACATACATTTTCATGTTAGTTGATTTATAATTTATGCAGAAGCATAAACATTTTTTAAGTTACAGTTGTCCTTTCTACCCTTTACAATGTGCCTTTCGGTGCTTTTGAATGTGAACTGCTCAAAGCGCTGTAGTATACCAAAATATCTATTCATAATCATCGGTCTTTGTAGTGTTATCACCATGACTACAAAATGCACTGAATGCACATACAATCACCATACAGTATGTCAACCCAGTGTCAATTTCGAGTTTTAAAGGTGCAGATAATTGAACCATTCTTAAATTCAAGGAGATATTTAGAAATTTTGCTATATGCCAACAAACTCTGTTAATGAGACGTTTCACAGTTTGCTCACCATCTGTGTGGCAGCGCTTTCACAAGCTTAGCTGACCATATGTCTGTCATTAATTATATTTTTCCTTTTGAATATTTGCTTTTTTGATGGGCTCAAGGCTGTGGGTCAGACAGTCGTAGCATTCTGTTCAACCTTTTAAAGAGACATGTTTTTTTAGAGAATAAAAACATCTGATTCTCTGTGCCATGTTTAAAAGAGGAATGTTTTTATTCAGCTGCCTGCCAGGTTTTGTAGATTTCTGTGAGGTAGAGATGAATGAATGCTGCTCTGAGCCTTGCTTTCACGGGGCCATCTGCCAAGATCTCATCAATGGCTACCAATGTCACTGTCGACCAGGTGAGGCTTTTATGTTATAGAAAATACATAATATAATGCAATACAGTATATAAAGGTATAAAGAAAGCGGTTTACCTCGTATTTGCTTTATACTGTATGTACTGTATTTGGCTTGTGCTTTATAGACAGGGTTAATGACATAGTAAATAAACATCTTGATGATGTGTATTTTCTCCATGTTCTTTCCAAGCTTAATATGCAAACATTGCTTGCAATCAAAACAATTCTCGGTTTGTTTGTGTATGTAGACCAACCCGACTCAGCAACACTGACTCAGCCAATTGTGTGAGTTTGGGAGCGGAACTGTCTGTTTGTCCTGACCAATGGCAGATGGAAAGTGTTTGCCCATTATTTCAAGCAAATATTAAAAGAGTTTATTTAAAAACAACATCAGCTTTAGTTATTCGTTATTTTTGTTATTTTGTCTGACTAGCATTTAACATGTGCATTCATGTTATTTTGATTATGATTGGATTATTTGAAAACAAATTCAAATGTTTGGGATCAGTACGATTCATTCATTCATTTTTAAGAAATTAAAACTTTTATTTATCAAGGGCACCTTAAATTGATCACAAAGTTTACAGTTGCAATTTCAAATAATTTCTGATCATCGAAGAATCCTGAAAATATGTATCACAGTTTTCACAAAAATATTAAGCAGCACAACTGTTTTCAATGTTGATAATAATAAGAACTGCAGACCTGCCAACCTGTTCGCATTTTGCGTAGCGGGTACACATTTTGACCTTAAAGTACGCTGGTACGATTTGTCACTCTAAACTACGCAAAAACCCGGTGACCTGTCCACGCGCAGTAAACAAGCAACAGAAAAAGATGAGGAGTTCAACCAATCAGAGCGTTTTCCGTGTTTTTTTATTGCTCTCCAAACTGGCTTCGTTTGTGTGTCTGTGAGTCGTGTGCTGAGATGAGGAAACACGTGTATGGTATTTCCTGGAGTCGTGAGCTCTATTTCTTCGGTGATGCATATGTGAACTTTCTGCGCAGGGGCGCCCTCTAGTATCCAGTATGAATGAAACAGACATTACATGTGTTCATAGCACTAAATAATGGCCAATCTATAAAAGTAATACTTCTCTCAAAATAAATTTAAGGTAGACATGTGATAATCCAGAACCTTGGGATTGTTGCAGTCCTACTGTTTACTCTAAAATACTGTATAACAGGAATATCACAAACTGAGCAAACTGAGTG